TGTTTAGCCAATGTTTCCATGCATTAGCGAAATAAGTAAAGCGAAAAAATAATGCAGCAGTTATTCGAGGGGCCCGGCACTCGCGCCTTCCTGCTGTGTTTTGCTGAACTCGAGTTTTTGCTCTGGAAGGCAGGCTTCGTGAATATTTTCGAAGGAACAGTACTGTTTGTATGTTGTCATCAAAATACACCCTGACCGACCATGACTCTGTGCCACAACATTCATTTCTGCTGTGCATGTACTTTATACCGAACCCACAAAGTGAAAGGCACTGTACAATGTCCTGTTTATGATTATTTGTATGCTGCTGCAGGCTGTGGCTGGACCAGGACTCCAGTTTTTCGACATTGTTGCCGGCTGGCCCGGCTCTGCCCCACGGACACACCCAAGGGAAGGTTAGTTCACGTGTCAGTGCATGGTGACAAAGAGTCGGAGCACGTTTTTGTGGTGTGACATTGAATCTAGTCGCTTGTGGAGTGATGCCCAATATTCCTTCATTCGCCCAGGTACCAAAAAGCCCAAATAAAGACTCGGAACGTCGTTGAGAGGGCGTTCGGCGTGTGGAAGAGGCGTTTCCCTTGCCTGGACATGGGAATGCAGCACAAGGCCAAAAACATCGTGCACATAATCACAGCTTGTGCTGCACTCCACAACTTGGCCTGCTTATTAAGGGAACTAGAGCCACCCGCTCAAAGGGTTCCGCAGCCTTCCCCTATCAGTACAGTGGCAACCAGAACAGTGCACCTGCCACCTGTTGATCGCCTCACCGACAGCCGTTCAGGAAATCAAGCACGGGACCTGCTCATACGCAAGAGCTTCACATAGTCAAAAACTGCATAAATTTCGACACTCGGCCATACAAACTTTTTTTATGGCTGCTGTGCACGCTAATATGTTTATCAACCATGCATGAAAATAAATATACACTGACATGCTTTCATCATTTTATGAGCTATCCCATCATTTATTCATAAATGAGGCACGTTGCATTGCAGCCTGCGGAGCTGTTCTTTCTTTAATTCTTTTTCTATCTTCAGTATGTCGATTTCAAGTTCTTGCTTTTCAAGGTCATTTTTGAGCTTTGAAAGCTCGAGATCTCGCACTTGATTTTCGAAATTTTTTCTGTCTTCCCGTTCCCGCATCTTGCAATCGTGGTCCTTTTGCATAAGCCGGATACTCATTGCGTGCTCTTCTTTCTGTAGTTCTGCACGAAACGCATTTTCTGCGGCCAGTGTTTTTTCCAAAACAGCCATCCGGCCCCTGGGTGTCCTGTATGTTTCAGCAGCAACAGTTGCTGCAGGAGTGCTGCTTTCAGCAGCTGTGGTGGCTTGGTGGCTGTTTGCACAACCTTCCACAGAAATGTTTGCTTCTGCATAAGGCTGTGCTATACAAGTGCACCTGCTGTCCTCGTCGGCATCTGTGCCTGTTGGCAGCTGTGACGGCTCTACAGGGTTGGCACCTTGCCACAGATCGTCTGCAATAAAGAAAAGATGGCATAATGGTACTAGTGGAGCATTGTCTATAACGCAAACACCTGTACACCACAACATGTAAAGAAGAGGCATTTCTGGGAAATACAAATCGTTAAATTTTTTAGACCATCATTACGCTTTAAAATGCAACACACCATACCTTGGCAATCAAAGTCCGCTTCATTTCGACTATCAGTCATAGGCTGCAGCAGCCTCACCACAGGCAGACTTGCGACGGGGGGCTGGTACCCTGTGGCATCCGAATCAAAGGCGTTTTCCACCCTTGTCGCCATGTGGGAAGCTATGGATCCAACCAATTCGTAGACAGGAGCCATGGCCGAAGGTGCAGATCCCCCTCCTAATCAGAAATAAAGTTTCATGGCAGAATGAAGCAAGTTTTCATAAACATCTTGTAAAAAAAACTGCGGTTCCAATGTTCCTCTCCCCTGAGTTGAGTGTAATGTAGTTTACCTGGTTCAACTCAAAGAAAAAACAATAGCAAAACATTGCAAAGAACAAACATGAGCGCGCTATACGCATTTTTCCTAAAGAAACAAAATGCGTCAGTTGTCCACAAATTCATCCTGATAAAGTTCTCGAAAAGTGTTTGCACTGAATATGCATGTTATATGCCAACTTCAAGGCAGTTCTTCGAGGAAAATGTGATTTTGAGTATTTCTTTTTTTCGCCATGCACTGCAAAATGTAATGGTCATGACTATTTGCACTCAGTGCTTACATTTCTACCGAATACAAAACATGTTGAACATCAAAAGTGATCCAGCCATGCATATTATGTTTCGTTTACCTGTTTTGTGGCGCTCTCGCTTCTCTCTTGCAGCTTCCTCTTTCCATTTTTGTTTCAGGTTATTCCAGCATTTCTTGAGCTGCACGTGGTCGCGCCGGGTGATTCCGTGGTTGGAATTGAAGCGCTTGGCAATCTCTTTCCATGTTTCATTTTTTTTCGCTATCGACGCAACATCAGTCTTTTTGCACTCGATGATGTGCTTGAACTCTCCCACGAGAGCGATAAGCACAGTCTTCTCGTCTTCGGTGAAGCGCGGTGCCGCTTTGCGTGCAGGTGTCTCTTGGGACGATAGTATACTTTGCTGCGACATCTCGGAGTGAGTAGTTTTTCCTCCTTGACTCGACGATGTCGCTCAGAAAAGTGACGCGGTGGGCCTTGCTTTCCCCAAAAGTCATTTCCTAGCATGCATTCTAGGAACGCCAGACATCCATCTGCAGCACAAAGCTACAAAAACTTCACAAAAAAAAGCTGCTCTTCCTCGTGGTTTCTCCCCTGACCAGAACGAGTTTTTGGGTAGAAACACGAAGCTTTTCTCCCGATTTCCTCGTAGCTATGCATTGCGAAAGGGCAAATGAATTCTTCGTTCACCTCGCAGGCCTGTGCCTTTTTCATTGTTCTTGACAAAGCTTCCAGCAGGCATCCTGAGGCTGACCGCGATCGTGCCCCCCCCCCCCCCCCCTGCACCTCACTAACATAGAAAACAAATTTGGTCTCATTTTGGTGGAGGCGAAATATAATGGCCTTATACTGGCCCATATCTGTGCACGATAAATAACACCAGGTGGTCGAAATTTCTGGGACTTTCTCATACGGCGTTCCTCATAGTAACATCATGGCTTCGGGACGTAAAACCCTCGATTCATAATGCATATGATCTCTGCTGTAATGCCTTCTAATGAAAATGCACATACCAAATGAAAAGTACTTAAATATTACTATTATGACCCTTCCTCTTAGAAAAAAAAGGACCGTAGAAAACCGCGATCCTCATCCGCACTTTTTATCTTTTTAATAAATGTAGTTTAACTTTTAGCATCTCCGATTTGATTTAGCTTTTTTTTTTCGGGTCAGCACACCCACAGGGGCTTTGTAATTGCGTTTTTTTTGTACACTGCGTTGCTTTTTTTGTATAAATATATGTGTAGCGGCACCGCGCTTCACCGAAGACGAGAAGACTGTGCTTATAGCTCTCGTGGGAGAGTTCAAGCACATCATCGAGTGCAAAAAGACTGATGTTGCGTCGATAGCGAAAAAAAATGAAACATGGAAAGAGATTGCCAAGCGCTTCAATTCCAACCACGGAATCACCCGGCGCGACCACGTGCAGCTCAAGAAATGCTGGAATAACCTGAAACAAAAATGGAAAGAGGAAGCTGCACGAGAGAAGCGAGAGCGCCACAAAACTGGTAAGCGAAACATAATATGCATGGCTGGATCACTTTTGATCTTCAACATGTTTTGTATTCGGTAGAAATGTAAGCACTGAGTGCAAATAGTCATGACCATTACATTTTGCAGTGCATGGCGAAAAAAAGAAATACTCAAAATCACATTTTCCTCGAAGAACTGCCTTGAAGTTGGCATATAACATGCATATTCAGTGCAAACACTTTTCGAGAACTTTATTAGGATGAATTTGTGGACAACTGACGCATTTCGTTTCTTTAGGAAAAATGTGTATAGCGCGCTCATGTTTTTTCTTCGCAATGTTTTGCTATTGTTTTTTCTTTGAGTTGAACCAGGTAAACTACATTACACTCAACTCAGGGGAGAGGAACATTGGAACTGCAGAGGTGTTTTTTTTTTTGTTTTTTTTACAAGATGTTTATGAAAACTTGCTTCATTCTGCGATGAAACTTTATTTCTGATTAGGAGGGGGATCTGCACCTTCGGCCATGGCTCCTGTCTACGAATTGGTTGGATCCATAGCTTCCCACATGGCGACAAGGGTTCAAAAAGCCTTTAATTCAAATGCCACAGGGTACCAGCCCCCCGTCGCAAGTCTGCCTGTGGTGAGGCTGCTGCAGCCTATGACTGATAGTCGAAATGAAGCGGACTTTGATTGCCAAGGTATGGTGTGTTGCATTTTAAAGCGTAATGATGGTCTCAACAATTTAACGATTTGTATTTCCCAGAAATGCCTCTTCTTTACATGTTGTGGTGTACAGGTGTTTGCGTTATAGACAATGCTCCACTAGTACCATTATGCCATCTTTTCTTTATTGCAGACGATCTGTGGCAAGGTGCCAACCCTGTAGAGCCGTCACAGGTGCACTTGTATAGCACAGCCTGATGCAGAAGCAAACATTTCTGTGGAAGGTTGTGCAAACAGCCACCAAGCCACCACAGCTACTGAAAGCAGCACTCCTGCAGCAACTGTTGCTGCTGAAACATACAGGACACCCAGGGGCCGGATGGCTGTTTTGGAAAAAACACTGGCCGCAGAAAATGTGTTTCGTGCAGAACTACAGAAAGAAGAGCACGCAATGAGTATCCGGCTTATGCAAAAGGACCACGATTGCAAGATGCGGGAACGGGAAGACAGAAAAAATTTCGAAAATCAAGTGCGAGATCTCGAGCTTTCAAAGCTCAAAAATGACCTTGAAAAGCAAGAACTTGAAATCGACATACTGAAGATAGAAAAAGAATTAAAGAAAGAACAGCTCCGCAGGCTGCAATGCAACGTGCCTCATTTATGAATAAATGATGGGATAGCTCATAAAATGATGAAAGCATGTCAGTGTATATTTATTTTCATGCATGGTTGATAAACATATTAGCGTGCACAGCAGCCATAAAAAGAGTTTGTATGGCCGAGTGTCGAAATTTATGCAGTTTTTGACTATGTGAAGCTCTTGCGTATGAGCAGGTCCCGTGCTTGATTTCCTGAACGGCTGTCGGTGAGGCGATCAACAGGTGGCAGGTGCACTGTTCTGGTTGCCACTGTACTGATAGGGGAAGGCTGCGGAACCCTTTGAGCGGGTGGCTCTAGTTCCCTTAATAAGCAGGCCAAGTTGTGGAGTGCAGCACAAGCTGTGATTATGTGCACGATGTTTTTGGCCTTGTGCTGCATTCCCATGTCCAGGCAAGGGAAACGCCTCTTCCACACGCCGAACGCCCTCTCAACGACGTTCCGAGTCTTTATTTGGGCTTTTTGGTACCTGGGCGAATGAAGGAATATTGGGCATCACTCCACAAGCGACTAGATTCAATGTCACACCACAAAAACGTGCTCCGACTCTTTGTCACCATGCACTGACACGTGAACTAACCTTCCCTTGGGTGTGTCCGTGGGGCCTGGTTCTGAAAACGGTGTAAATAAATATGGCTGGCATGCGTATCCAGCGTCGCCCGACAGCACTCCGGGCACCCGGTTTTGTTCGTACAGAACCCGCAAGCGGGAGTTGTCAAAAATTCTGCTGTCATGAACAGAGCCGGGCCAGCCGGCAACAATGTCGAAAAACTGGAGTCCTGGTCCAGCCACAGCCTGCAGCAGCATACAAATAATCATAAACAGGACATTGTACAGTGCCTTTCACTTTGTGGGTTCGGTATAAAGTACATGCACAGCAGAAATGAATGTTGTGGCACAGAGTCATGGTCGGTCAGGGTGTATTTTGATGACAACATACAAACAGTACTGTTCCTTCGAAAATATTCACGAAGCCTGCCTTCCAGAGCAAAAACTCGAGTTCAGCAAAACACAGCAGGAAGGCGCGAGTGCCGGGCCCCTCGAATAACTGCTGCATTATTTTTTCGCTTTACTTATTTCGCTAATGCATGGAAACATTGGCTAAACACAAGGACGTTGTTTACTGTATGGAAAAAAAAGTTTACGACCCGAGTAGTCATTGAAAAAAAAAAAAAAAAAACCAAACGAACTAAACTGTTCAGAGACTTCGAAATTCTATTGCTTACCTGCACATTGAAGGAGAAATAGCCTTTGCGATTGCGAAACACTTCGTCATTTTCACCGCCGGGGCTTTTAATCCGCACGTGCGTGCAGTCTATGCATCCCGTCACTCCAGGGAATTCGGCCACTTCATAGAAGTCCCGCATAACTTGTTGAAATTCCGCCGGCTGAGGAAAGCGCACCAGTATGGAATACAAGTGCTTTGCTATCAGCATGGTCACTTTTCCGACTGCGCGGCACACTGTAGACTGCGGAATGCGGACGAGGTCCCCGGTCACTGTTTGAAACGTCCCAGCGCTGTAAAATCTGAGCGCCATCAACAGCTGCAGCATAGGTGGCACAGGCTGACCTCGATTGTCCCCGCTTTCTTGGAGCGGCAGCATAGACAGCAGCTGCCGCACGGCGTGCTTTGTGAACCGGTAGCGAGCGTGGAATTGTTCCTCGTCATAGAGCTCCATAGGATTTCCTCGGTCACGAAGGGCGGGTCGTGGAATCTTCGGCAGGTAATGGGTCTTCGAAAACACAACATCCATGGCGTGGCACGCGAACTCAAAAGCGGCCACTCTCTGCGCGACGTCCATTCGGGAGGCGGCCATGTTGGAATGACGCATGAAGTCGCTTTCAAGCTAGCCCCGCAGCTGACTTGAAACTTGTCCTGACTTCGACCGAGCCAAGTCGCCTTCAAGTCGTCCGCAAGTTCGAGAACGATTTATGGTGACCAGCAAGACTGTCTTGAGTCAAGAACGAGTCAAGTACGAGTCAAGTAACATTTCTGCATTCGGGGGTATGAAACGCGAAGGCCGACTTGAGCGTTTTCAAGTCCGCTGCTTGCTTCGCGCCGACTTGCTCAAGTCAAGTCGAAGACGCGGCCAAGTAACATCTCTGCATTCGGGGGTAAGCTGATGTTTTTTCGGAAAAATGATGTGCGAAAGTGGGGGGGGGGGGGGGGGGGGTCGGTCGACCCAGATTCGAGTACCACGATTTGGCCGCCGCTGCCACCTGCCTGAAGGCCCGGATTACGACCCTCAATGCGCCAATCTCAAGGTACCGGTTTCGCATGCCGAAGGCTCATTTTCACGACATTCTACGGTAGCTGCGCGGTGACGAGGCCACTCAGGCGTGTTCAGCGGAAGAATAGTGATCCCTATCGCTTTCGTTTGGCTCATTGTCCCGAAATCACGCAGTCCCACGTTCACGCAGTGAGGGAGGGAGGGTCCTCGAGCCGGCGAGATTTCACGCTGGAAAAGCCATGGAAAAACACGAAGACGTGGATCGTGTCACGTGATTACCTCTGATGGATGGATGGATTGACATGGCTGTATCTTTTAGATCGGGCAGCGGCTAACGCCACCTAGCTGTTATACTTTATAAACAAAAACTAAACTACTTTATTTTCTGTGGTGCTCAGAACGCCTCCGCTGTGTTAAAATAGAATAGAAATTGTCAAAGTAGAAAAGAAATACGTAATTTACTTACTGGAGTTTAAAATGAAATGAATTCCCAGCCAAGCCCAGTTTCCAAAAAAGAAAAAAAGTAATATTCAACCCGGCTGTTGTCACCTTGGCCACCTATTAGCTATCGCGTGGCGGATGGCGCGGAGTTGGTCAATGGTCATTCTTCTGAAAGCGATCGTGCAGTGTAGTTGTGCCTCTTGCTCCCAAAACGCCAGTGTCAATTGTGCTTTAGATTCGATGGCACCAAACAAGCGGTGCCACTACAGTGCGGCACTTAAGCGGAAGGTCTTGTTACATGCGGAAAAGACATTGAATCTTCTGCGGCACAGCAATAGTTGGGCGTGCACAAAAAAAATGTGCGACGATGGCGAAAACAACATGCGGAACTCTTTGGTTGTGCAGCAACTCGCATGGCGTTCACTGGACCAAAAACTGGCGGACACCATGCGGTGGAAGAAGTTGTTGCCAATTTTGTTCGAGAACAGAGGGAAGCAGGAATGCCAGTGATGACTGAAATTATTCAGGCGAAGGCCAGAGAAGTCACCATCACGAAGGGTGTCTCACGAGCCTGGTTTAAAGCCAGCAGGGGCTGGGCAACATGCTTCATAAAAGGGTTTGGATTCAGCCTGCGACGACGGACCTCTATGTGTCAAAAGCTCAGCCTACATTTGAAAAAAGCTTTTTTTTTCTGGCCTTGCCAATTTTGGCGGTCGGCCTAGATTTGAGTATATACAGTATATTGACTGTATGCAAACATGTTTTTAGCTAGGTGTTACGATTTTCAAGGTGAGCTCATCGTGTTATAAAAGCAGCAAAGAAGAGTGGAACAGGGTACATGGGTTTGGGAGCAGGTTTGGAGCAGCCAGAAGGGCCTTTTTGAGCAAGTTTAGAGCAGTAAGAACATTCAGAGCAGATTTAGCCCCAATCAAAGCACTCGTGAAGCGAAATTTGTTCAATGCTGCATTTTTCAAAACAAAGCTAAATTGCACAACAGTCTCATTATTGCAATAGAAATTATATGGAGACTCCCAATGGGTTTCTGCCATTTCCGTCATGTCCCATATAAATTCCGAATCAATAACATACCCCCTCACATCGCATGTTCTATCAGTGAGCAGAAAGTGCGATAGCGAGGGCGACGAATGCAGTTGAAGCAGAGACCGAATGATCCTGCCCATCTCCACTGCTTGGAGGGCATGCGTGCATTGCGCCCGCTTTAGAAAAGCATGAGAAAAAAAGACGAGGAGGGGGAGGGAGAGAGAGGGCCACAGGTGTTGCTCGAGTGATGAACTTTGCTTTAAGGGCGTGGTTGCGATCGCTGGCGTGCACACTAGCGTGGCAGCTATCAGCGGGCAACATGCATACATTTCTACGTGCTGCACTCTCATCGCGAAGAGACTGTGCGACACGCCTTGCTCTCCTTTAAGTGGCCATATTCTCGTACACCAGCGTTTTGAACAGTTACGCGAGATCAGATCCAAAAAAGTACGGTGCCACCCTCGTTTCGTGTAACATAACAATACGCTGCTATCACAGCCATCGGTTCACCCTTGCGATGCAACTGCGACTTTTTATATTATGTATATAGCCACCCCTTTTTCTGTTAACACGAAAGTGCCAGCATTCACCATGGCTTCGCGACGTATTTCCGTCAAGGATATGACATTGTAAAATATATACCAATATATTGCAAAGAAAAAAAAAATAGGAGAAAAAGACTCGCAATGGGGCTTCGAATCAGTGACCTTAAGCTCTTCAGCGCTCAACGCTGTCCAGTAAGCCACAAGGCGAAACTCCGCCTACTTGTTATGGCAAGCCATTATATAACACCATCTACCACCGGTCCACCGCCGATGGTCCTCAGAGCTCAGCAACTTCAGTGCGTTTTTGTCATGAGTAGCGAGATAGAACGATGGGCGCGTGCTCGAAAGGTCATTGTGCTGTGCCACTCTCCGCATTGCTATGGGCGCACATTCACACAGCGTGGTCAAAGTGCACATAAATGTTCTCTAGTGTGGAGGCTCACTGGCGCATGCTTATCTCGCAATTCAGGCGCTTTATACCTTTGTGCTTCCTGCCAAGTTTGCTTTGAAGTTACAGTAGTTAAAGAGAGCACGAATGTGAATTCACTCACTGCCACGGCTGCTTTTACGAAAGGAGCGTGCTGCTCATACACAAAGAACTGTGACAGTCGTTCGCGCTCGTTCTTTGTGTACCTGTGCGTTCACTTCGTGCATACTTTTTTCTGTTTGAGAAGCATGCTTTAAGTGTCGAACTGTGACAGTTGTTTGTCCCCGCTCATCCTGTGTATGCTTATTTCGCCCATGCTGTCTACTTGAACTGTGCCGTAGAAATTTCGAGCTGCCTGCCCTTCTTCGCGTGACATTGCGATTTGTTGCTGTAGCAATCATTACTTCGCTCTTGTGGTGAAAGAATGCACAATGAATTGCTCAACTACCTCTGTGAAGACACGGTTCACCTTTGCGTTGTACTGATTCCTAAAAAAGGGGACCAGCCCTGTTTTTTTTAAATGTGAACGCGCGAGCATCAACCGCGAAGTTGATAAGCATGCAGCACAGCGGCCAAATGAATGAGAATATGCACATACGGTCGATGAGCAGTTATGTGCATCTATCTGTCTTCGCTAGGCTCTTGCGGCAACTGGCCACCACCAACCCTTCTTTCATCAATGTTACTGTCATCCTTTATTTCTGAACGATGTCATGATGTTATAAAAAAAACCAGTTTCACCAGAGTGGCAAAGCAATGACTCCTATAGCAGCAAATAGTAAGGCTGGCAGCCAACTCCTTTGGGTCCGATATCGCGTAGCTCTACAAACGCCGGTGTGAGAGAATATAGCCGGGCCAGGGAGAGACTCTCTTCTTCCAGTCTGTTCGCGTTGAGAGCGCAGCATGTAGAGAGATTCAAGAGCTACTCACGCTGGTGCCTGCTGTGATCGCGCGCATAGCGATCGCGACCACACCCTTAAAATGAAAGTTCATGACTGCTCCTAGAGCGGTCACAGCCTTTACCGCAACTAAAACTATAACCGTTTCGATAAAACCAAAAGGAAAATGTTTCAGCCACGTTTACGGGCAAGGCACTTGATGGCTTTTGCACATTGCAGCTTAATTCTGGTGCTGTGGTGCAGTACGGCGCTGATAGGCAAGTTTGCCGCAGCAGGGGTGGTTGGGCGCAGGATGGCGCAGGTAAGCAAGTTTGGCGCACAATCGCGCAAGTGGCGCAGCTATTCCACCCCTCAGTTTAAGAAATGTCAACGTGTTCATGCTGCTTGCCTGATGACATGGCTGTGTCCGTATTTTCCATGAGCATGGCTCGGTTCTTAGTCCACACAATTAAAATGAATCAAAAGTGAATCAATATACAATGAAGTGAATCAAGAGTGAATCAAGTGAACTGAAAGTGCCTCACAAAGCATAGATATGCGACTTCCTTCACATTAGGCAAAGGGACCCAATAACTTTTTTTTTGGCTCATGATGGCCAAAAATCATACATTCTGTTGATCTTCAAGAAACTGGTCTAGTTCAGCTGCAATTTCTTGTCTAGTTGCTTTTCATTGTTAAAAACCACTTACAATCAGCTACTTTTATTTTTTCGCTATTAATTAAAATATACTGGGACATGTACGTAACTTCTATGTCATTTCCCCAGGCATAAGTTAAACGCTGCCTTGCTTGTTGCATTGCTTCTATGCATTTGCATCAAATAGTCTTGTACTAAGTTGAATTGAACTGCTCTGTAAATGCTCTACGGTAGGACATTTAGGGCCTACATGAATGAAAAAATGTGCTATTGTAAATATGTAAAGAAATATGCAACAAAGCACGCTCTTAACAAGAAAGATTGAAATGTGATGCAACTTGTCTTGCTGCAACTTATGTTTCTGCGCTGATTTTGTGATAAGCTGACTGATATGGCTGAAGTTGGGTTCTAAACAGACTGTTACAAGTAGTGCTTGTTAGTGCATACTACACATCACAGGAATTCGCATTGTCTTAACTAGCTGAGGTTAGCATGTCTTGTTGCACAATAATGTTAGATCAGTGGTTCTCAGCCATCAATGTGTTGGGACCCCTTGTGGACTGGCTGAAGTGATGCCGAACCCTTTGGGGGTGACGAACCGAAATAAAGAGAAGAGAAGGAGGGCGGGGGAGCACTCGCCATTGAATTGAAGGGAAAACAGAACAGGTGAAAGAAAATGAAATGCAGTGCTATAGTGGCTGGTGAAGCAAGCTTAGCTTTTAGTTGAGGCATTAGCGCAGCTGCGGCAATGTATTAAGAATATTGCTGCACTGGAACAGGACCTGGAACTACAATAACTTGTTTTTTAGCAGGTGATGGCGTCGCCGAACACCTAATATGGCTCCACCGAAGCCTAGGCTCTATGGGACCCTATTTGAGAACCACTATGTTAGATGATGCAAAGTTACATGCTCACCATAGGCGCTTTCATATGTTTTTCAACTTCAGACTTTTGCTGGTGCTGAAGCATCGGTGGCATTCCATACTCTCGCCACAACTGAAAATCAAATGATTAGTTGTAAAACCATGCTATGCCAAAGCAATTTGCAAACGTACAACATACAATTTCAAAGGACCACTGACACTGAAAGTGCCATTGGCTAAGCATTAGTGGCAAAAGTTGCGCTGTATGTACTAAGCAATTATAATATTGTTTTGAAGTAAGCTCCCCTCAGTTGGCAGTGCTATGCAGTGACATCACAAATACGAGGTGTTTAGTGGTACGGCCGCTGGATGAAAGAGCGCACGGGTATGGCCCGCCACGTGCTCCAAAACTGGCGTGACAGGTCTAGTTCCAGAACCCCTGCTGCGGCGCCACCAGGAGGGGACAGTTTTCGCGAGCGCCCATAGAATCGCATGCGCGGCACGCTTGCGGTAGTTACGATTGAGCGCGCGCATCTTTGTGTGACCCGCGAAATCTTCTTTTAACATCCGTCTGGCATGTGTGCACCAGGTAATTACCAACCTCGCTTTTCCGCTTTTGATACCTGCAGCCCTTGCAAATTTTTGGTATTGCCTTACCCGAGATGGAACCTTGCACACCGATCAGTTTTCGCGGAATGAAGAATTGTGAGCACATTTTACTCAGATCCTACAAGATCACAACTAACAGATCTGGAAGAGGTACACCATTCTAATGCATCTAAATAATTATAGTAACCGAGTATGTCGCTTCAAAAAACATTGCTTCTGATTTAATAATTTAATGTAGAATATGCAACCTCAGCAACTGCAGTTGCCACTGTTCCTTTAACACAAAACAAGATAGACTTCTCACTTCCTCCAAACACGTCTATAGTATTCATACAATGCAGTATCAGATGCAACAGCCATGAAATATACTTAACATGTGTGCGATCTCATAACAGTGGACTCGAGCCTCTTTGAAATTTCAGTGACTGTACTTTCAACGCTGGCAATTGAGCGAGCAGTTCTCAAGTGAATAATATGAAAACTGTGACACGAAAAGGGCGATGAAATGCTACAAAATGCAAACACAACTGCTTGCGTTTCTGCGCTGGCGAATGCCGATAGCACTCAACGATTTGTCTTCTGGCTGTCTCCGTCATGTGGTTCTGTCATCCATAACTGTTTATTTGTTGTACTATGTATCGTCGACAAATAGACACCTGTGCTCGCTCAAACAAAGGCACGTCACGTGCACTCGACCCCCCTACAGCAGCCGTGGTTTTGCGATGTGTAAACATACTAAAAACGTGGTTGTCACTAGACCCGGCCATATATGTATATATATGTCGCACATACATAAATATAGCTTGAGTTTATTCCTGCAGTCTCATGATTTTGTTTCCGGAGTTGAGGCCTATTATCGTCAGCCGTCATTGCTTTAGATAAGCCACTCCTCGCCAGTATATATATATATATTATTGCCTAGTAGGAACTATCAAGAAATTTGAATGGCACTTCTAATGATGTATACTTTTGTAGCCTCTCCAATAAAGTTACGAGGAGCGCGTCACCATTTTTGTAGAAACTACTTTTATCTAGCGTTTGAGGCTTAATTACGTTCGGTACACTACCGAGCTCTGGATAACATGAAAAATATTGGAATTATGTTTCTTCAATATGCTTTCGAAATATAAAAACTATGAACGTCTATTGTAAAGTGTCCAAAAATTAATTGTCAAGCATTCCGGCTGAGAAAACGCAAAAGTGCTGAATAAACTTCACAATAATCAAAATATGTTAGTTTAAGACATCTCGATAAATAGAACAATGACTCTGTCAAGCATTCAGTGCTATATTAGTCATCTACATGCATCGTGGATTTTTCTGTCAGCCTCAGAGCAAAAAGCTGGTCCTGAAAAAAAAAAGTCAGATGCTGGGCACGCACAGAAAAAATCAATTGGCTTTTTAACTACAAAGCGCCTCGTCGTGTACTAAATATGGGATATGTCATTTCAAAGAAAAATGTGTTTAAAAAAACACTGATTAGAACAACTGAGTGGGTCACTGTTGTGACAAACACTAGCTACATTCATGACTTCTTTGCGCAAACACGTACACGGACACAAGGAAAAGAGGCAAACAACACGGGCGCAAACTCACAACTGGTTTATTTTGAACAACGAACTGTACTTATATCTTCACGTAGCCCACACGCCCCCCCATCGGTGGATCCAGGAACAAACGAGATAACCCAAAGCAAGCTTGTTCAGTGCTACGTCATGATAACAACCACGAAAAAACGGCAAAAAATTGAAGAGTTCACGCATCTGCAGACGGATTGTAGCACGTGCCTTTCAAAAAGTGAAAAGCAAAGAAGTCATGAATGAGTACCAACTCGCCCAACTTTCAGTACTGTTGAAACACTAGCTAATTTGCTGCTGCTGCTGCCCCAAGGAAGCCAGCAGCAATCGCAACTGACCCTACGGCTGACAAGCACTCTCCCATAGAAAGCCGCTCGATGCGGCAGACCGTACCGTGCGCTGTTTCATCCAGCGGCCGTGTTTGTGGCTTCTCAGGCTCTTTCTGACGTTTAGCCAATTCTGATAGCATTGTTAGTGTCACATATAGAAATCTTTACATAGTGCACAACAGCATAGTGTAGAGGCTTGATCCTTTTTTTCTTGCTCTTTTGTTGAGCAGCTTACGCATAGGTCTGTGTAACTCATTGCTCACATCTGAACGCTCTATTACGATGGAGCATCAGCACATGGTGTAGCCATGCTTATTCATGCAAAGAGAGAACATCAGAGCAGCCACATCCTTTCATTCCTTCTTCCCAGTGAGAACCCTTCTCAATGAAGAAGTGCTGAAATTTAACAAATTTTGAGTGCATGTGTGGTCAGATGTCCCGTAATTTCCGGTGCTAGTTTCTTACATTTTTTATGGGTAAAATTCGAAGTGACACTAATAAAGACAACATAATATTAAAATTATACAAAACACTGCACCGGTAGCTGGGGGTCTCTCTAGACTTTTGCAGCACCTACAAGAACACTAGGAAGCTACATTTTGCCCTCCCCCCCCCCCTAGATGTGAAAATTTCACATAGATACACAGTCGGGCACTTAACTTTAACAGACAAGATGTTTCATCAATGTTCTTAATTAAAGCATTGCAAATAATGATTTAATTTTTCCCAAATATCTGGATACTCACATCACGAACACCAGGTGGTACAGGAACGTTAAAGCCGGGAAAGTCAACCAAACGGGTTGGATCATACTGCACTAAGTTTGGAAGAAGCAATTATGCATACATTACCTTTCAGCTATTTCAGCATAATGCACTTTTTCATAAAGGTTATAACTTTCAGATCTTTTGATGACAGACTTCGCTAAAGAATGTAAAAAAGAGAATGATAAAACCCACCTTCTTCCATATCACAGGAGTCTATTTCTCCAGCTTCTTTTTGTTCTTCTTCAGCCCCTAACTTTTCATTTGGTTTGACTGGGAAAAAAATAATAAAATAAAGGTTATGAGGATAGAAATGCATGCACCGAATTACTACTGCCAAGTATGCAGTGATTTGCTGATCATTTTTTTAAATATTGCATCTTGCATGATCCAACGTCTTATAAAGTTTTCACACCCTTTGAAGATACTTATGTCTATGCATTACCGAAGGCAAAGTAACAAAAAGGTAATAGACAAATCAATATTCAAGGAGAGAGAGAGAGAATGGGTCACAAGATCACAGACAAGAAAAGCGCAACACAGTATCTGCAAAGGGTACATGTTACACTGCAGCTTTAAAGTAACATTTTTAATTCAGGTGCATTTGTCACAAATATCCCACCTGATTTGGATGCAACAAACTTAGTTTACATCCTCACTAATTGTTTATGACCAGCAATGATGCCTTTTATGCGTATTTAAATATAAAGATCAGAGGGAAACCAAGTGAGGTATTCAATCAATGCATTTTCTGTTTATCAAGAGGCACAGTAAACACAGTGATCTTGTACCCATGGGGCAGTGTGTGACAACAAACCAAGTGGACACAGCCAGCAGCATTGCACGCCTATAATCCTCGGCTCAAGCCTGAAATATGACACAGGTACTTAAAATATTAAATTTAGATAATGTACATTGCTATGTAATCTCTAATAGTGTGCTGCATCACATGAAACTTGGTGCAACGTGCACACATTAACAATCACATCACATAAATGAATATAAATGACATTCCTCATTATCACTGAAGGTACAAAATACAAGTCAACTACAGTGCCGTGCCTAGGTGCTTTATCCCCAGAAGTCATGAACAAATGGAAGAGATGTAGAAAGTAGTAAATTAAGGGTACTGAACCATACTAAAGCAGACACATAGAAGTCTTATACGTATGTAGGTGGCCTTAGACGCTCAACAAAATGTGCATTTTACCACCGTAAAATACCAAGCAAGCAGGCTTGCTCGGGCTTTTACCGCAGCAAGCAGCAACTTGCTGGCAAAGCAGATTTTGCCAGCAGGCAAAATCTTCTTTTGGAGCAGTTACTTCTATGTTTGGAGTATAGGTTGGCAAAACTTGCGGAATTCACTCAGACTTAATCATTAAATATATTTTGAGCTTTGGACTCCCTACGAAACTTTTATTCGACTGGACTCGCTCGAACTCAAACTCGCCAAAACATCACTCACCCGAACTCGCTCAGACTGAGACTGATGGCTCAATCTGAGTGTGAGTGAGTCAACTTCTGCCTAGAGTCCGTCTGCCTAGAATTAGCTTTTTCGCCTGTGGTGTTATGATCTTTAACACCAATTTCTCTGTCTATTGGTCCTGACCTGGCTGGAGCTGTCGGATTTATTGGCGAGGCTTTTGCCACCGCTATCTTTTTTCCCAGGACCCTAATAAAGTTCATACTCACTCAACGTAATCGGTGTTCTTCATGGTGCCGTTTCACATAGTAACTTCAAAAACTAGTTCAGAGTTCTTCCAAATCAGTAAAGTCATTTTTAATGGAAGAGATAACAGCATTGGACATAATGATCAAGAATTTCCCTGGAAAATTTAGTGGGGTGGGGTCAAGGCACCCCTTTAAGTAATTCATGCCTCTAACTATTAAATATTGAAACGGTGTATGAATGACACTGCTTTGGAATACCCGAGAGTAGACGCGAGTATAAATGTGAATCCAGGTAAGGCTGATAGTAAGGCTGAGGATGAGTAGACAGGACATTACGTCGGCAAAAGCTCACTCACTCACTCAAGAACTATGTTTTGCGCTTTGGACTCACTCCGACTCAGACTCACGAAAATTTTCTTCTACCGGATTCCCTCGAACTCGGACTCACGAAAATATTACCCACCCCGACTCACTCAGATTCACTCCTCAGTTTGAGTGAGTCCGAGTGAGTTGACTGATGAGTGAGTCCGCCGACCTATGGTTTGGAGCACACATGGGCGTTTTCATGATACAGACAGAGGAGGAAAATTTAGCTTTAATTTAGTTTAATATTCTCTCACATTTATACAGAAGCAGCAAGCCCATAAAATAAGCACAAAAAATTAACAAAAGCAGGATCCTATACAGAAGTGGAGACATAAAACAGTGCAGGATATTACACCAACTAGCTGGCTGCAGCATGAAGTTCCAGCAGCATGCTCGCACGCTCGCTCACGTAGGCATATGCACGGGAGGCAGAGGAGGGGGGTTGAGAGGGGTTGAGCCAGCCCCATACATTGACATGATAGGGAGGGGCGCTGCAACAAACCTTTGACCGGTTCGTTGCGTTAAAAAATGGAGCACCCAAAAAATTTATGGAAATTAAAACGCACGTTGACTTGAACAGATGTAATGGTGGTGCAGTTAACAGTTTAACATGCACTTATGGCTGCAGTTACCTTGATGAAATATTACATAACATTGTCATATGTAAAAGTCAACGTCATGTGCAAACAACACAAAAAAGTCAGTGTTTTATAGCTTCGTTTGCATTCTACGTGGCAATATTAATTTTAGACCTACCGTCATCATCCAAGCCATAAATTTTTATCCCAGATTTTTCAACTTTTGCATATTCAAGCCAGCCTGGTGGATAACCAAGCACACGCATTCGATAGATGAATGGAGGAAGAGCTTGTGGACCCAAATTTAAAGCTTCTCTCAACTCCTGACTGAAATGGGAAACATGTAGTAAAACAAAAATTTATGCGGCATTCACTAAAAAAAAAAGACATTGCTATAACACTCAGTTACTTAACCATTTCAGGTTCAAATTATAAAGAAATGTCTGTAAATTTGTCAAATTTACACAAAATGTTTCCAAAGCACTTGATATTTTAGTGTGACAAAAGTGTTTTCACACTGATTGATTTGTGTGCTTTTCACTAATTAATATTATTTGCAATAATATTTGCAGGGGCTTTATGTGCCACAACCATAAAATGATTATGAGATGTCGTAGAGGAGGGCTGTGAAAAATTTGAAGTGGTGTTCTTTAACGTGCAAATAAATTTAAGTGCACAGGCTGCTAGCATTCTTGTCTCCACTAAAAGTGTGACAACTGCATCAGGTGTATCACTTGGTTAACCTTAATTAAATTGTAATTCAAGATTTATCCTATAGCTGTTCCCATTCTGTTTTTGCATAAATATAATCAAATAACAGGCAATAAATGTAGTCCAATTTCGTTTTCAGTTATATTCATTTTGGGCCAACAAGTTATATTTTCAACATGGCTCAGGGAAAGCAGCATGTCGAACAACTCGCTGAACATGGCAGTGTCTTCAGCAAAGTGATCATATGCGGCAATACACAGTAAAATGAAGTTGGATAAATATATATTTATCATGAAAAAAGTTCAATTAATATAAAGCACAATGTTAATCACTCTTTCTTGGCCACTAGTAAATACAATTAGCAAGAGTAAGTTGTGGACAAAATGTGAACAAAGCCAACTGTAGAGGTAAGCACTAATTTTGTCACAATAAGATATATATATATATATATATATATATATATATATATATATATATATATATATATCTGAGGGTACCTAAGCACTTTTTATGGGAAAGCATTAATGCCCAAGTGAAAGCTCAAGCCAGCGAGGAAGCAGCAGGGCAATGAGTAGCTAAAGCCCAGTGGGTAGGAGATATAAACCGTGTGCCATATTACCTAAATAGCAGGCCTGTGCAGTCAACTTTATCCCACCATGCTATCTGGACTGAAAAAAATTTCCATGCAAAGCTTTGTGCGATGAAAATGGTGATGTAAAAATTTTGGTCCATGCAGCTTGATGTCATCGAGTGCTCAGTCCCCCATACCTAAAAGGTGCTGGTTTCTTGGTTGTGATGCTGAAGGTGGCATATCATAGAGGAACACCTCTCATATTCACATGGCAAGGGCCATTGTCAAAATAGGTAATCAACTTTCTCAACAGATTGTTTGAAGTAGCTTTCGGACATACAGTTGATCAGCCAGAAACTGCCGCAAGCACCTACAAATTTTGTGTGTGCGTTTACTTATTGTAAATACTGCTGCAAGCTCACATGTAGGCAAAAAGTTGAAATTGTATTTGTTCAACACAACCTAAACCAACAGCACGAGGAGAAATGAACTACAATAACTTATTTCTCAATACTTGACAAAACAGTTTCTCTGGGCAACATTTTTTTATCTCTGAATATGATAAATATAACAAATATTACAAAATTGAAGCTTAAATACTCAGGTACATAGCTGGGGAAACCTAACTATTTTATACACCACTGTAATATGTTCCAACACGCAACAAAGTTCTCAACAGGAACGTAGAACTCAATAACTAAAAAAAAAAAATTAAGACACTAAAAAATCAGTTGTAGTTTCCACAGGTTACTGATTAAAGGCCTAGGGAGTACCCAATGCCACTTTGCATTTTAATGCTTTGAAGTCTAATTTCTCATCTTACTTCAAGACATATTTCTATGCTTAGCACCAGAAGGATTCATTGCCACATGACTAGCTGACTTTTTCCCAGCTAACACATCCTCAAACAGGGTGGCCAGATGCTTATGAACTCAAGGTGTCCTGAACTATGAAAATAGGCTGTGATGCTCAACTTTTTCGAAAACAAGATTTTGTGCTTGTGCGACATATAGTGTTGCACCATACATATTTCTCAGCAAACTGGACTTCTGATTTTAACATGTGTGATTTTAACGTGTGAAGTAACACAAGAAGACAACACACAAAACAAAGAAATAATTCAGTGTTCAACCCCTTTATAAGAGGCATGCACTGGGAGGCAATTCTTGTCTTTTACATGAGGTGTCTTTTATAAGCACAGTACCCATACCATGTTCTCATTTTCAGTTCCCTGCTTTCGTTCAACCCCTGCTCCTATATGTGTCTCTTATAAAGGGGTTCAACAGTATTGCAATTGCAGTATCATTATTTTGAAGTCGAAAGACTACTCATGCTCACCTATATTTGCCAGGTTGGAAGCGTTGTGCCAGCATTCCATACTCGAAGTAGCGCCTGGAAAGAAAACAAGAGCGTAAAACTATGCCTAGTTGAAAACAATTAGTATATCTATCAATGACACTAGTCAGTCATTCAAAATTTCAATAAAATATTCATGTTTAATGCAAGTTACATTGTACAGACTTGTAAAAGATGTCTGATCAGATCACAAATATAGCTTCTTATAATGAAAGTGGCAACATCCTGACTTTCGCCTTTAGGTGCAGCAGTCAAGAAAGAATAAGCAGAGAAATACTTTGAATTCCTCGAATTAATTGCAGAAGAGTTTGAAATTTCAGTGAACATGTGTTGTTTTTCTTGTGCTGTAGCTTAGTGCTCCTCCTCTGAAACGTTTTAGAAATGATGTTTAGAACTATGCCCACAGCATTCCCTAAAGTGTATTTACCTTTCTATCGTTCAAAAGTCTTGAATGTGGGATAATCAGCGAGATAAATTAATGTGGAGACATACATATCTACAAAATATTTAAATATAGCCAAGAACGTATTTAAAATCAATTTTATGATGCATGCTGTGCAACGGAGAAAGATGCATAACTTCTCAGTCTACATCATTGTGGCAGCAATGTAAGCAAACCTACGTCACAAGTTTGTGTTGACTGGTTGCTTGCACTTGTACTAACTGTGATTGCTCCCTCCGTGCCTGCGGCTTTGCATGTGCAGGCTTTGTTGGCTATTAGTGCGGCGCTCGCATGCGTGCAGTGCCTACGTCAATGTCCAGCTGTGCTTAACTTGCCACCAGAACTGCTCCTGCATAACTCTGAGCTAATTGAAACCGAAATCGCAACTAGGCGCACACTATACATACATAGCCTTTGTGCCCTCGTGGAAATAAGGTTTCCAGCTGTGATAAGTGGGTCTACCTATTGCAAAAAAAAAGAAAAAAAAAAGGAAGTGCAACGTTTTCGTGTCAGTGCTCCTAAAGGAATAGCATTTTAATTTGTCCTCGATGCTGAGATGAGAGCACTTCAAACAGAAAGATAGCTCATCTTCAATGACTAGAATCAGAATTTAGGGGAATCATTACACTGTCGAGTGGCCACTAGCCACCACCTTAAAGGGACCCTGAGATGGTTTTGGCAATATTGTACAAACCCATTAGGCCAGTAGACCAAGTCCTAAGGGTTATTTACAGACTGATTTCAGTGTTCTGCATAAACTATGTAAATTATTACGATTTAAAGCTGCGACTTAGCCAAACGCATTTTTAACTGCCCATTCACAGAACAACATGCTCTGGTAAAGCGACATCACCCTGGCTGCTGGTCTGATTGGCTGTAGAGTGCGTGGAAGTAAAATGGCCTGGTAGAGTGGTGGCATCTGCTGGAGCCCGTATCAACCACTCTTCAATCTTTGTCTTTGTTGCCAGACGGGCACACTGTGGGAGGGCCTCTGAGATTGCGTGCAACCTGTCGGTGTGCAATCTCGGAGGACTAGACTGGACGAAGCTCAAATCGTCAAGTATACTCATGAGAGCTCTGCGATTGCCAGTGATGCCAGCGTGTCTCACAAGTTGAGGAGGCAAGGCATAGGTGAGAAGGAGGCTATGATATAATTGTCCGTAGCGGCCTTGGTACACGGCATGTCGCTAAATTTGTGGTGCGAATGGTTTGATGATGCTCTAGCCTAAACGCTATCAAAACTTCCGAAACCACGTTATGGTCCCTTTATTATGACAGCATACACTGCACACTAGAGCTGTGCATAGGCCAAATTTAAGAGCCCAAGCCTGGCCAGGGCCTGTTGACAGTGTCAAAGGCGCGCCTGAGCCCAATGCTAGAAGCCGGTGAGTTTGCCTGGACCAAAGTACAAAAACAAAAGACGAGTCAGGCCTGGTCCATCCTGACAATATGAAGGTTTGCTGCAGAGACCAGATGTCGTTTTCCAATAATGCATAGTGGAACAAGGTACATGGGTTTGGGAGCAGTCTTGGGAGCAGGCAAAAGTGCCTTTTGTAGCAGGCTTGGAGCATCCAGAAAGATATTTATGAGCAGGCCTGGAGCAGCTAGAAAGGCCTTCTCAAGCAAGTTTGGAGCACCCAGAAAGAACATTCAGAGCTGATGTAACCGGTTTGACAGCACATGTGAGACAACATTTGTCCAATGTTGCATTTTTTCAAACACTAGGCTAAATTGAGCCTAGTGAGCCCTTATTATTGCAATAAAGATATGGATAACCTCAATTAGTTTTTACTGTAACCGTTATTGTAATGTCCCGTGCAAACTCCAAATTGATAACACGCCCCTGCCCGTCGTATGCTCTACCTGCGGGTCAAAGCACACAAACGGAAGTGATGAACGCCGCTGAAGTAGAGACATAACAAGCCGGCCCATCTCAGTTGCTCGGAGGGCGCACGCAATAACATTGCCCCACTCGAAAGACTTGCCCCTGAAGCAAAAAGGAAATACCCCGCTCGTTTTGAACAAGCACGAAAAGATGCAAGGGGAGATGGGGGAAGGGGTAATCCTAGGGAACTAACTGAGAACTTTGCTTCTAAAGGTGCTGGTGCGTGTGCTCATTCAGGAGCCATCAGCAGGCTGCTCACATTCATTTAGACGTGCTGCGAACATATTGCTGAAGGACTGCGCAAAAAGCGTTCCTCTTCTTGCTGTGGCTGTATCCTGTTACACCACCGCCTTTTTTTTTTTAAAGTCACACAATATTGGATCCAAAAGAGTCAGCTGCCAGCTCACTTCATATAACATTACGATTTCTTAATATCACATTTATTTCTTGCCCCTTGCGGTGCAAGTGTGACTTTTTTAGTTATGTACAGGTGCTCCAAAAGTAAAACGGAGCACGCAAGCTGTGGCTAAATGGGTTGCAGCTAGGCAAATATGCATGCCAGTGCACTCCAGCACATATGCGCTGAAGATGGAGTATGTCAACATATTCGGCTGATCCATCCTGATATTGTGTTGCTCGCCTTATCGTCGTCTACTACTATCATTGATCATTAGGGGTGAAAATGGTGGAGCTCGTGGCAATACAGAAAGCACATGCCTCTGAAGATTTTGTCATGACTTGGGCAAAGAAATTAATTCAATAAACATAAAAACTGTCCCCTGACGAGCAACGATGATAGCAGCGCAGCTTTGCTCAAGTTGGCAATAAGGAGAACAAAACAACATCAAGCTGGGTCAGCCGGATATGCCGATGCACTCTCGCTATCTGCAGGTGTCTTCTGATACAGTGTGCTGACATGCAGTTTCGCCCTGTTTGGCCACAGCTCATATGCTTAATTTTACTTCTGGAGCACCTTTTGGAGCCCATTTATTTAACCTGAACACGCGAGCACAAACCGTCGAATTGATAATGAGCGCCGTAAAACGAAGCACAGCGGCGAAATGAACGAGAGAGAATATGCACATGTTTTCGGAGCCTCGAGTGCACCTGTCTTGGCTAGGCTGTTCTTGGGACCGGACACCATCCCACTTCTTTTGAGCACTGCTACCAGAGGAGTAGCCAGAGTTTTTTTTTTTTCAGGAGGAGGGTTCAGCTATACTTTATGTATGTTCATGCATGTGTTTGCATGTGTGCATGTATACATGCACAAGCCAAATTGAAAATTTTTGGGCCGAGGAAGGAAAGGTTTGAACGCCCCCACCTCTCTCTTGACTACATCCCTGACTGTTACCATCATCAACCATTTTTTTCTGAACACTGCCATGAAGATATGAGAAAGATCACAGTTTCACTAAAATAGTGAAGCAACAAATGTGACAGCAATAAATTAAAATGTTACACAAAGTAATAATAGAAGCTAACTCTCTTGGAACTGATATCCCGTAACTACAGAACGCTGGTGTAAGAGAATACTGCTGTGCCAGAAAGAGGTGCTCTTTTCGCAGTTCTTTGCGTGGAGAGCACAGCATGTGGAAGGGTTTAATGCCTGCTAAGCCTGCTAATGCCTGCTAAGATAGCATGTGTGCCAGCGCTCGCGACCGAACCCTTATGATCAAAGTTCACAGCTACTGCTCGAGCGATCACTGCCTTGATGAAAGCGGAACTGTAAACGTTTCAATGAAACTGAAAACACGATGTTTCAGCCACATTTTCAGGCACGGGTCTTGATGGCTGCTGCAATTTGTGGCTGAATTTGGTTGTTTCGGTGCAATACAATACTCATAAACGAGTTGGGAGCAAAAGAGGTGGTTCAGCTCAGGATGGCACAGGTGCGCAAGATTGCCACACAATCGCGCAGCTGTTACACCCCTGGATAATGTGGCATATTATTCAACATATCAAAGTAAAACACAAGCAAATGACACATGACAGTCGCTATACGCAATGATGACAAGCTGTCGCCTAAAAAGCTGTCCAATGACTCGGGCTTCAGTGGAGTGAGGCGCTCCTGCGTCATGTATCCCGTGCTACTAAGAGCCGTTGGCTGCTCACACTAGTAGCCAAAATTGCCTGTTATTTTCGGAAGCAAAGCAGGCTTAAAATATTGTTACCACATGTGTAATTTAGGTATGTGCACCTGTGTAGCGGGGAACGTGGTGGTAGTAGAAGAAGAGGACGTTCGGTTGGTGGCAAGAGCTCGCTGCTGCGCATTCATGCGGTATACCGTGGAGTCGACCGTCATGTCTGCTTCGAATAAACCCCTCGTAGACGTAACAGAGTGGTGGAGGTGCTGGGTACGACACGTCGACGTACCACGGAGCCACAGCTGTTCGGAGTTCGCCGGAGCCGTCGTCCTGCCGGTCTGCCGCCGACAACAGTCATCATGGCCCAGAGCGAAGGTCAGGAATCAACCGCCTCCACTTCGCGCCAATCTACACTGGCTACACCTAGGCATCACTACATGGAACCCCGCTTGTTCGCGGGAATGGCAGGAGAAGATGTGGACGTGTGGCTAACGCACTACAAAAGGGTGAGCCAGTACAACCACTGGAACTTTATCGATCAGCTGGAAAACGTCGCGCTGTTTCTCACGGACACTGCCCTGATGTGGTATGAAAACCACGAACAGTCCTTGACAACATGGGCTCT